CGAAAAAAACGCAACAAACCGATTTGGCAGAGCTGTTCAATGACTTGCCTATAAAATGGACCAGAATAGACACAGCATCCAAAGTGGATCTGTTGGATTTATACGCGAACTGAAGAGGATCATGGGAAATGGTAACAAGTGACTGTAAGCGACTCAGGATGGCTTTCCCGGTTAATTTTGGCGCTAGAGACTTCAATGCGATGGGACGAAAACGTTTTGCAAGAACGGTTGAGGATGAGGTCTTTGGAACAAGTATTACGGTCACTGGTCGCCAGGAATCGGGGATCATCTGTGCAGAAAGGGACTCGTTGATGAGGGATATCATCATGCTAGTTAAAGGGGCTGCTCCAAACTTGAGAAACGCTGGGGAACGGCCATTAGGGCCCGCAGATGACGACGGTTTGAACGAACGTAGAAGCTTCAAAATTTCATCTTTAGAAAAAGGGAACACCGGAATTAGAAAGAGGGTATCTGGTTAGATGGACAAAGGAATGCAACGTTAAGGCTATTTACATCAAAATCGCTGTTCACATTTTTCTGTTTTTGTCCGCAGAGAAGACGAATTCCTTGCCACAAAAACCTTGTGTTTTTCGTTTACAGGATTTGGGAGGCGAACGTCTTGTTTAAACGTGTAAGCTCAGCCTTAATTAAGTTAGAATAGTACTTTACAGCAGATGGATGGTGAGATTTATGAGATCGTTCCTTTTACCTTCGTTATGCGTTCAAGCGAAGAGATGCAATGTTGCCGTTGCGAACAAACAGCGTTTCCATGGGACAGCACAAAAAGAAAATCGATTTCATCGTTTCGGTGAAAAGACTGACACAGTTAAGAAGTGATGAACAAGAAGCAAACTAAGACTGGGCAACCGTTATGGAACGACAGAGAAGAGAAGTGCGGGTTGATGAAAAGTTACGGATATGAAACCTTATCTGGTTTGATCGTATGAATGTTGGGTATGCACAGCGGGAGTATATCTGTGGTCTTAAGAGGAGAACACAATGATCACAGGGAGCGACTGGGGCCATTAGTTTGAGCGAAAACAAAGTGGGATGGTTTGTGATTACCCGGTCGAGTATAAAGCTGTCTCTGGTAGGAGAATGCGACAAATCAGACAAGCCAAAAGAAAACAGATGGAAAATGCTTGCATGGTTGAAGTCACCAACAGCCAAATGAAGATTCTCATCTAATATTGGAACCAAGAACGGGATGTAATGATCAAAGAAAGAAGACATATCTGATTGGGAACACAAAGGAGGTATACACAGATTAGTAATAATTGTACTTTTATATCGGGAAAATATGGGATGACAACGAACGTATAAACAGTCAATGGATTTTTCAGAATAGGTGAAAATTACTTGCCACACCGCCTCCAGTTTTCTGTCTGCTATGTTGTTTATCCTGCTGGTAACAGTCGAAACGATCTATCTGCACGAGAGCATCCTCAACTTTTTGATTGAACCGGGTTTCTTGTATGCATATGATACATGTGTTCGAATGCATGCGTGTGTTCAGTAAAGAAGTTAAATCCGAGATCTTTGTGAAGAGAGAGCGAACGTTGGTACTGATCAATGACGGCACAGTCATCTTGGCAGGAGGGATGCTATTAAGCGCACACAGCCATCCAGCACGCTTGCGCTTCTTGATCCAAGCATGCTTGCCATATTCTCCAAGCATATTGTTTGTCTGAGGCAAAGAATTATCGGATTTCAATCTAAGCATATCCTGACGAGAGTTGGTATGGGTCCGGAACATGTTCGACATCGAGATAGTCATAAAATCCAATGAGACGACGAGCACACAAAACGTAGCGCAGCCAATCTTGCCACTATAGGACAAACCAAACGTCACAGCAGGATAGCAGTAACACTTGGACTGATCGATCAATGACCAACCGTCCACATGATCCCCTATCGGCATAAAGCGAACAAACATCAGCCAAGCAGTCAACGTCATATCTCTACATGACTCAACGGCCTATATAAAGAAAGGGACACTCGTAAGCGCTCACCCAGTTACTGCATTGAGATTGTCACCTCGATTGGTGATGAAACGTTTGCAATACAATTGCCAAGCTCGGCGAACAACTGAACACCATATATATACCGTTCTCGCATACCCTGTTTGTGTTTCACTCGATTCAGTTCACTAGTACACTAGTTGTCATTACCTTTTTTTATTTTTTAAGCGCTTTGATAATCATGCGCTACCCGAGATATCTGTAACAGTTCACAAGGTTGTACTTCGTGACCAACCGTGCGCTGTCATAATTTGGGTTTCCAAATTGCGTGCTCAAGCTGAGCAAATAACGCTTCTGTTTTTGTTATTCAGGGTACATGGCTTCGCTTGCTCCCGGTGAAGTAGTGTCTCTGAGTCTACACGGATCATTCTACAGAACCCGATCCCCGGATACGTCGAGCGAACTGGTGTCTAGCGGCGACGAGGTCATGTTCTCCACAGTTCCTCTATCCACTGCTGGCAACTTCTCTTCACAAGGGACAATTGTCCCTTCCAGCTCCCCATACGTGGAATTTTATTCCCGCTCAGGATGTGTGGTGAAGCGAAGCACATCCGAGGTAAGACCCTTCGGTCAAATGTTCCCATATTTCACAGCTATGCGCAATTATTCCTTGTTATTCAATCTACTTTGCCTCGTTTGATTTCATCTGTACCGGCCAATTTCGTCTTCAATGATCGTTCGTTATTTTATCCCACATTTTTCCAATTTAATTTTCCGCATCAAGTTTTTTGTTTATTTACATTTACTTAATGGCTAACTCCACGAATTGAAGGGGTAAATCGAATTTATGAAGGTCCCTGATCCTAGCTATCCATACATGTGTGAACTCGTTATCCATCAAGTAGATCCGTGCAACATCAGCAAGGCCTAGTTGATCTAAGTCTTCAGTTGTACTATCCAGATTGGTTTTGTTTACCATCGTGTTGTCGGGAGCAAGCCTGGGTAAATTAATTTAACGGTTCTATCACAGTGGTAGTTGCAGAAACGCTAACTTTACTGGAGTAATCTTTCAATCTCCGGTCAATGGTATTATAATAACAGTGGATTTCAAGGGTCTCATGAAATTTTCTCATGGTAGTTCATTTTCGATTTTAACATGGGACGTCTTTGATCAAAAATCTGAAATCGTTAGATATCCTCACGTTTCCTTAGTGCATGACGTTTAGTACAGATTAATAGAACAGTTGGAAATATAACTACCTTTGGTAGGCGGTGGATTTCATTGGTACCCGAGATATTGAACGATGGGAAGAACATTTGAAACTACAGTCCAACTGGCCTCCATCGACTGCGGACTTGCGAATTCCTGGTATTGCATTTGATGAAATTCCTGTGCTCCTTACAGGAAAGTGAGCGCCGTTCAACTGAATGGTGTGAGTTGGTTTTCTTTCTTACAAGAAAGACAACAGATCCTCTGATAAAACTTACGGAGGAGTTAATCTGTAAACTCGTCCTCGGTATTCCAACCCGTCGAGTGTCTGAAGCACATGTAAGAACTGAAATCGTTTTAAATCTGTTCGCCTATTGTATTTTCATTCTTCGAACACAGTTCCGTATTTTCGATTTGTACTCTCCATCTCGTGAAACCACGCATACGCGGACAGCAGATCATCTGTCGTCGACAAATGTCACCGAAAACCATACTCAAAATGTCTAGTCATTTCATAGACCTAATCTCATTATGAGACAGTAGACACGACCTCTCAACAATGAGGCCTGAAGTTGACCGCACACTTGTTTTATTTCAGCGTAGGTCGTTTCAACTATTCTATGCGTGTGGTTTTTTTTTCTTTTAAGATTTGGTTGTCATTCGTAACAACTGTCTAGGTAAGAGAAGTAAATGTACGCGGATTTTTCGTAGAGTGAAAGTGTTAATCGCTTCACTAAATCGAGTCGGCAATCCGGTCTTGGTTCTGAAACATACAGCGGTACGCTTCCTCGCGATCTATTTCTTTATAAAACTTTCTTGTTTCTAATATGTTGCTCCATTGTTTTCTCGCATTGTTTGGTTCTCTTATTGGACCGCAATACTTTTGTGTGAATTTTTGTTTTTATTCCGCACTTCTATAGGGTGCAAACAGGCTGGGTTTCGAATATGCAACTTCATTTCACTGTATTACGCTCACTTAGTTCATCCACGAATTGCTTCTTCAAATCCGAGTTTTGTCTCATTTTCCTAGGTGTCTTTGTATCCTAGTTAAACTAACTATAGGGTTCACAGGTCACTTCAAGTAAACAATTCAAATTGCGTTTTTATCATCGTGTGTATTTTTGTGCCGTATTGTTTTGTTACCCCAACGCGAAATTTCGCTATGTAGCCGTCCGTTTCGGGTGTGTGGTCTGACAGTTCCTTATGTTCATCTTTATTTATTGTCTGTATCCTTGCCATTTTTTCCAGCGGCTTTCTCGAATGAGGACTTCAGCAACAAACACCGACTTGGATATTACTCTAATCATTTTCTGGCGTGTAAGTTTCACCCGTCCCAAACGATCGAATTTGGTCAGTTTCCTACCGTTGTCTATCGCACGGGAACAGTTTTGCAGCGGTCTCCTAAAGATGCACTATGTATATTTCATTCGTTCTGGGATATTTTTTTTAGGAATACCTACTCTTTTTACCTGTGTAACAACTAACATGAACAATAATTGGGTCGTATTAATTTTCTGTTTATGGGATAATTCCATCGTCCTTATATCGCCAATTTGGTTGATCATTAAAACAACAGCGAATGATAGGTAGATAGGAAGGCTTATTTCACCACACGAAGTGCTTTTGCATTTCGGTGTGACCTGGAATGTGCACAAAAGTGGGCGTTTGTCTTTGTCTTCTTGTCCCGCATTTGATTGAACGCACTCAAGATTGCACAGGGTCACACCTGACTGATCATGCGATTCCACGCAGTCTCTCGTTGATTGTAGTTATTTTTCATGTTGCTCCTGGATTGGTGGAACGGGGCCTTATTGGGTTGTCTGAATATGTGCTCAACAAATGCATTTTCTTGCCAGTGATTTGTTTTCCGGTATTCTCTCTAGTCGACTTTTGGTTAATTTTCGAAGCGTTTGACCTCATTGTTTCCTGAATACATCGAGGAACAAGCTGTGTATGTTTCAGTTTAACCATCAACCAAACTCCAGTTGTCATTGTGGAGGTAGAAATTTCAGGGTGTCGATGGTTGCACTTCTCACAATACTCAGTCATATCACTCAGTATCTCGAGCCGGAGGTGTCTCAAGCTGCCTGCGTCCCGGCACGTGATTCATCCTCCAGATGAAATGAATGTAATTGAGTAGTAATATTTGTCTAACCTATCTATAGCCATTCCTTGTCTTGGTGATGTCTGGAGTAAGACCAACCCTGCAACAAAGTTTTACATGTGTAAAACGCATGCCGAACATCACATTAACACTAATACTATCGGGAAGCGCCTGTGATTCACTTGGATCTTCATCTGGATACTATAGTTCAGATAACTTGCCCACCGGGAAGCACTTTCGGTACCGTTATAATTGCATGTAATCAGGGCTATTTCCAGAACCATGTCAATCACGAAAATGAATAGAAAAAAGGAATAAGAAGGCAACTCTAAAGAACGCGGTTTTTGGTGATGAACTCGGACGGGGTAAAGTTGTAAGATCGAACTCGGTTTCGGTTATTAATGGATATATCGTCTATATGACCCCAGGCGGCGGTGGCCCGATGGTAACGTTACCGAATTATTACCCCGGAGGATGTATGTTCGAATTCCACCACCACCGCCTGACTTTCCTCATTGTGTGTGTGTTGTATGGCAGGCCTTTGATTGGCCTCTTCACTCTTCCCGAAAAATTTTATCATTGTATATTCAATAAAAGAAAGAAAATCTGTTGAAGCCTGTTGGTAGCCATACCAACGCGAAAATTGGAACTGGTTAACCTTCCAGATCAACGAACGCGGTCCCTTATCCGAATGTATTATGGACCTCCGCCCTCAAAAGTCTCTAATTTAGGGTACTCACCGGTGAAGAGTTTGGTCAACAGATTCGCTGCTAGACACTAGCATTTGACGGTAATGATTGGCATGACAAGTGGTTTCATCCTATACCGTATCATGAATCGATGTTGGTAGCACTCGGATTTGTGTGTGAAAATGTGATGTGACCTTTATCCTCCATACTGTCGCATAATGCATTGAGTCACAGCCGGTGGTCTTTGGACTTTACAAACCGGTACCGTTTTGGAAATGCGTTGTGATTACTGTCTGAAGTTTATACAAAGTAAGAGTTCACTTAGTAACTCTATCGTTCACCAGTGATTTTGTTGCACCCGAGCCAGTCACCGATTATACTTTGATGTCGTTAATTCTGGGTTACGATAGGATTGTGTCTAGGAAAATGCTCTACTCATCTGAATTTTGCTGTTAATTCTTCTCTCTCTCCCAAAAGCACTAAACTGATGACCACACCTGGATATCTCATTACACCCCAAACTCTACAGTCCTGACCTAATCCGATTATTCTCATTACACCTTCTCTCTAGCGCCTCACCACTCCGGGTCTGATGGACACAACTGCCTATGGTCAAAGTCACGTGCCTTTGATAAAATTGAATCACTTGGTATCCGTTCCCGTGGAAGATCAGGTGCAGTTTTTTTTGGTCAAATTCTTTTGCACGTCATTTGTGCATGGTTCGGTCCTTATATGATTAAAGGCTAACTGATTTAGCATAGTTTTACTACTGACCATCAACTGGATTTCAAAGAATCATACTCAAAGCTAGGCTTGCTTATCATATTTCGGTAGAGTATATTCTCTCAGCTCTGCCGACGTACAAACCAATAACCGGGATATCAGAGCATGTGCCGAAGAATTTAATGTCTAACGTCTTTAAGCTTTTGTCCAGTGTTATCGCCAGTCATGCATTAGTTGCAAGAAATGTGACTGTCCTAGAAGTGCTTTTTATGTTCGAATCGACCAGAATGGGAAATGTTCAATACGATACGTCCAGGCAACAGCCGTTGGATGTTACAAACCCGATCCACTATGCTAGCAGATCTAATTCGTGTTCGACCTCAGGCTGCCGCATTGGATGACTGTCCCCTTTGTACGGATCGCACTCCTTTTCTGTGTTCCCAATTGGCCTCGTTTTTTTGTAACCTTTGTCCTCCGTATTGATTGATTTCTCCTCTTTCTTTGGTGCTCGCCTGTCTCCTAACCTAGTGTTCAGTCAACCAAACGTGACCTGAATGTATGTGCACGGGTGATAAGATTAACTACCACATAATATGTCAATTTTAGCACATCCTGTGATCATGAAGCTGATCGATCACTGCACATCTCGCGCTCCCCACTTAAGATTGAGCTCAATCTCAGTGGGTACGATAGTATGTTGTGTATGCCCACGATCATCGCTCCCCAGGTATCCGCGAGAAAACGTTTTCGTTCCTTTTTCATAGCTTGAAGCTTTTTGTGAAGCTACTCCAAGGAATGTGATCTCAGCTGAATATGCAGGACCAAAACCAGTTTGCCTACTGTGGCTCTCGCTCCACACTAGACGCCCTTGTTTCACTATATTCTATCTGCACTTGATGGTAGTAAGAAAGTTGTCAGAATTCGTTTCTTGAATTACAGTGACGCCTTCAATTGTGGTGATAGGTCTAAGTTGTTAAATACTTTGTCTTCCAATGGAATATCGCAAACCATACATGCACACTCACTAACTGTTTCACAAATCGATCACAGTTCACACCTTAGCTTGGTCGTTCCTCCTTTTCTTAATTTTTTACACCAGACGTATTACAGAGTACCATTCAATCCCCGCTTTTCTTTTCCACTTATAATCTATCTACGCCTACTTTTCAAAATTCCCTGCTCATTAAATATGCAGACGATTTTATGGTCGGAATCAGCCGCTCTGATGCATCTGTAACCCCCACCCTCCAGCTTGGCCTTACTAACCTTGCTGAGTGGTCCGCTGCGCATAACTGGACTCTCAATCCCTCAAAATACGTAGACATGCTATTCTCCCTTCACAGAGAGAATCGTTATGCTAATCTCCTGGAATCATGCCCACGTTGAACTTACGCGATGTTACTATTATCCAAATCCTAAATGTCAGTTATCTTGGTATGTTGATAAACCGAAATTTATGCTAGTCTGATCAAGTTATTTCTGTGTTTGGAACGGTCAGAAAATTATTATTTTTTACGTCTGAAAGCACTATCTGTGCCCTGCTTTTTGATTAAACGTTTTCTTTTTGCTTGTATTTTTTCCTGGGATACTAAAGAAGGACTCCAAATTGCTTTCCAGATCCTCAGCGGGACTTACCGTGAAACTCTGTGTTACTTCATCACTTCACAACGTACAAAGTCATGCTTTTCGTTATCAAAGAAAAAGCATCGACAATCCTTTACATCCGTTACATCAAGATCTTGTTAAGTGTGTGTCCTTTCTTCCATCCGGTCCCGTTGTAATTGCATATTTACTCGTATGACCGCCTATCGGTCTTCTGTGGTGCCTTATCTTGCTCAATTTCTTGTCAGCCCAGAACGCATCGCTTCGGAACTCATATCGTGAATTGTTTTCCTTTCTCCTTGCTTACCACAATTCTTCTATGATTTTATTCCTTAAATGTTGGTTGACTGTCGCTGCTGAATATCCACCCTTCCGGGTGCATAAAACAAATACATAATTTGCGAAGGTTCAATCTTATGACCTGCGGGTTTTATGCTCAGTTGTCTAGCTAATGTGATTACTTCAGCGATTAAGTCAACTGAGCAGCACAGAGAGGGTTGACTGTGTTGATCGAACGGTTTCATTCGCTTCCAATGAGGAGGGGGTGGTGGTACGTGATTCGAACACGATAGCATCACCACCGACAACTTCATTGGGTCGTGGATAGTTTTACTCTCGTCCAGCTCAATTCCGTGCCCGGTCTTTTAGGAGCCTTATGTAGTTCGCTACTTTTGGCTGCAATCTAGGGACAGTTGTTTGTACAAGCCATTACGATACGATACTATTTATACTACACAATACTTCAGGTCCTCAGACCTAGTTGGCAGGTTCCCATGACTACTGGGCAGAAAGTTCTTGTGTCTAATCGGTTTACGGCTTTTATACTGTTCATCACAGCAGTGTTTGAAATGCTGAATAACTTTTTGTTGCTTATGCAGTTTTGATTTTGGTGTCGCGACACTGTTTTTCGTGTAGACTGCGTTTTCCCAAGCATTTGTTGCTCCGTTATTGTTCTTCCTTTGGACCGAATGTTCTTCACACAAATGATTCATGTTCCTTCGAATGACAGGACAATTTCTTTTATTCCTCGTCATTTTTCCTCTGGTACAGAACGAGAACCCCTGCAAATCCCGTCGTGATTCGCGTAAAGAGCCCACAGATTTATCTCCTGTCGGTCTAACCCAAAATCCAACCCAACTAGTTCAGTTCCGACTGCATCATCCGTTCAAAATACACAATCGATTTCCATCGGAATCTGTTCACTTACCACTTAGTGCCCGTTCTCCCCTGGCTACGAATCTCATGAATGATGAACGAGGACTGGACGAATCATTTCGGCTTGCCAGGTTGACACTGGTACCATCTTCATCCAAGCGATCTAACAGGTTTGTTGTCCACCACTAATGTTACTACGTGCGTGCGTTTAATTTGCAAATATCTCCATTGATAACGTCAGTTGGCCGAATGGTTTATGTCAACCTTTTCCCTTCTTCTTTGGCAGCCTTCTGAAGATACCTGTCCATGCTGAACTTCTGAATACAACTATGGCTCCCGTCCTGGTCAGATTGGAAGCTGTATTGGATGAAAATCGGTAAGGATTCTTTCATCTTAGGAACTTGTATATTGTTTTGTCTCGAATAATTGCAATTATGTCTCTCTCTCTTTATTTCAGTGAATCGCTTTCCATGGTCAACGATTCCTCCGTTGGACCTAATCCATTATCTAAATACCTTGGACAACCGGAAGCTATTC